AAGTAAGCCAAAAGTAATTATCAAAGAAAAACTGAAGAAGGATTTCTAGAACTAAAGAATACAAATGTTCACACTACAATGACCCATGATAGTTTTAGCATCATTTATTAAAATGGCAGGGCCAGGCATGGTGGTGTATATGGTATATACTTGTAACCCCAGCACGTGGGAGGACGAGGCACGAGGATCACAGCAAATTTGAGACCACCTTGGGATAAATAATGAGCTCAAGGATAGGCTGAACTATATCGCAGGACCCTCTCTCCAAAATCCAAAGGAAAAAGAAAAAAGGCATAAAATTTCAAGAAATTTAGATGTAAATGTTTTATGAACTTCCAGAGAGAAAAAGATAAACAAAATCACAGAGGCCACACAAAAGGGATCAGAAATCAAAAAATGTGTCATGTGTGCACACAAGTATTACAAACTAGAAGAAATATCATCATTAAATCCAGATAAAATAAATGAATTTTATAGGAAAGTACAATAATCATAGCTTACTATATGCTAGATTTGAATAAATTAATGTCATGGCAGTATAAATGATGAATATTAATCTACCCAAATTAAAATGTAATTACTAGGTTGAGACATAAAATTACCATATTTGCACATCAGAATCTAAAACTATTAGTAGCATGAAGAATGATAAAATGGTGCATGTGTTAGGGACTAAAAGAAAACACGTTAAAACAATTCTTAACACAAAAAATTTTTTAAAATTAAAAAAGCAAGGGCCAGCCAACTAGGTCAGTGGATTAAAGCGCCTGCAAGCAGGCACAGGGGGTGGGGTTCAATCTCCCAATCTCCGGGTCTGCTGTACTGGCCCCACCCCCAGGGTGCACTGAGATAGCAATTGAAACTGGGCATGGTGGCGTGAGCCTATAATCCCAGCTCTTGAGAGGCTGTAAACAGGTGGATTACTATGAGTAGGATCTAGCAGTGAGACCCTGAACACCCTGTAGACCCTTCCCTAAAATACAAAAAGATAAAAAATAAAAAAGCAGTGAAATAAGTATGCTATTTTTAAAACATAAGTAAATTTCATGAGTTAAATGTGTTTCTTGTATACAGCATATTGTTGGATTTT